TCTTAAAGGATATGGGTGTTTCTCAACCATCTTCTATTGATCTTTACTGTGCCAATCGAAGTGTTATGCAAATTGCTCACATTAATGTTTTCCATGAACGCACAAAACATATCAAAGTCGATTGTCATTTTATTTGATATCATGTTGCCAAAGGAACTGTCCATCTAGTCTTTATTGGCTCTGCTGATCAGCCTGTGGATCTCTTCACTAAGGCTCATTTTCCTGGATGCTTCCGCACTCTTCTTTTCAAACTCAAGCTGGTCTCCTCATCACCACCTTGAGTTTGATAGGGGATATTACAGAATATTCTCTCTTGATTATGTTCACATTACTAGGATTATATTTACATTATAATTGATTTACATAATTAGATTAATTGATTTTGTACTATAGAATATTCTCTTGTACAGACTTATAAATAAGCACTTTGTATATTCAAATGAATCAAGAAAAAGTATCACTTTTCTTCATATTTTTCTCTCCTACCTTGTTTTCTCACAATGCAATAGTTTCTAATAATGTATGCCATGAATTGAATGAAAGCAAAAAATGGATCAACGTGATTTGTATAACATTAGTGATAAGTTGACTTAATTTTCTATGTAAACTAAAGAATTTCATATAATATGTGAAATATAATGTATTTTTATCTAGTTAAATTCATAGAAAATATGATAGATTAATAGGTGAAGATAAGTTTGGTATAATTTGAAAAAGTATATCAAACATGATAGAAAATCCTGCTATCACATGAGTAGTAACATCTTAATAGTATAATAATTAAAATTTATGTTAGTTGGTAATAGTGAAGTCGATGTCCTAATATCTTTTATATTGGTTAACTTTATTTTAATTGATATTTTCTTGTTATTATTTTTAATTAATTTTTTATTGTTCAAATAAAGTTAAATTAATTATTTTTGTCATTTAGTTAATCATAATTCTCATGAATTCGACATTTTTCTCATCATTATATTACTTAGAGCAGTTAATCCCCTTACTAAAGTGATTTTTAGCCCATCAAATATCTATTTTCCTTTTGTAGATTAAATACTAAAACTTTATCTCCGACCCATAACTTTTTCTTGCGTTAATTTTTCTTTTTTTTTTTT